ATGACCTTGATTTATATTCTAGGTCACAGGGGTCAAATATGTTTAAAACATTTAAACAACTTCTGAATAACCAATAGGCCTTGGGTGCATACATTTGGCCAGTAATATGCTGGGATAAATGGCTACCAAGTTTGTTCAAATAAATGACCTTGATTTATATTCAAGGTCACAAGGGTCAAATATGTTTAAAACCTTTAAACAACTTCTTCTGAGTAATCAAGAGGCCTAGGATGATGAGATTTGTCCAGTTACATGCTGGGTTGAATAGCTACCAAGTTTGTCCAAATACATGACCTTGATTTATATTCTAGGTCACAAAGGTCAAATATGTTTAAAACCTTTAAACAACTTCTTCTGAGTAATCAAGAGGCCTAAGGTGATGATATTTGGCCTGTAACATGCTGGGATGAAGGGCTACCAAGTTTGTCCAAATACATGACCTTGATTTATATTCTAGGTCAGAGGGGTCAAATATGTTTAAAACCTTTAAACAACTTCTTCTGAATAACCAAGAGGCGTAGGGTGATGAGATTTTGCCAGTAACATGCTGGGATAAAGGGCTACCAAGTTTGTTCAAATAAATGACCTTGGTTTATATTCAAGGTCACAGGGGTCAGATATGTTTAAAACCTTTCAGCAACTTATTCTCAATAACCGATAGGCCTAGGGTGATGATATTTGGCCAGTAACATGCTGGGATGAAGGGCTACGAAGTTTGTTCAAATACATGACCTTGACTTATATTCTAGGTCACAGGAGTCAAATATGTTTAAAACATTTAAACAACTTCTGAATAACCAATAGGCCTTGGGTGCATAAATTTGGCCAGTAATATGCTGGGATAATTGGCTACCAAGTTTGTTCAAATAAATGACCTTGATTTATATTCAAGGTCACAAGGGTCAAATATGTTTAAAACATTTAAACAACTTCTGAATAACCAATAGGCCTTTGGTGCATAAATTTGGCCAGTAATATGCTGGGATAAATGGCTACCAAGTTTGTTCAAATAAATGACCTTGATTTATATTCAAGGTCACAAGGGTCAAATATGTTTAAAACCTTTAAACAACTTCTTCTGAGTAATCAAGAGGCCTAGGGTGATGAGATTTGTCCAGTTACATGCTGGGTTGAATAGCTACCAGGTTTGTTCAAATAAATGACCTTGACTTATATTCAAGGTCACAGGGGTCAAATATGTTCAAAACATTTAAACAACTTCTTCTGAATAACCAAGAGGCCTAAGGTGATGATATTTGGCCTGTAACATGCTGGGATGAAGGGCTACCAAGTTCAAATAAATGACCTTCATCCATTTCAAGGTCACAGGGGTCAAATATGTTTAAAACCTTTAAACAACTTCTTCTGAATAACCAAAATGCCCAGGGTGACGATATTTGGCCAGTAGCATGCTGGGATGAAGCGCTACCAAGTTTGTTCAAATGAATGACCTTGACCAACTTTCAAGGTCACAGGTGTCAAATGTCTTAAAATCTTCAAACAACTTCTTCTCAATAACCAAAATGCCCAGGGTACTGATATTTGGCCTGTATCAATCAGGGCTACTATATTTATTCAAATGAATGACCTTGACCCACTTTCAACTTATGTTATTGTTTGACATTCAGGGTCACACTGATATTCTGCCTGTAGCTGTATTTTAGTCCACTTTTAAGATAACAAGTGTGAGATTAATACCAGGTGAGCGATGAAGGCCCATTGGGCCTCTTGTTTATTTTCACACTGAATCCATGCCTCATTTCAGTGTAACTTGTGATACTATAAGATGTTTCATACATTGATTTTATGTTATGTTTTAGTGTAACTCTTCAAAGTAGTTGCCAAATCATAAAATGTGTTACTTTGAATAAGTTAACTGTTTATTTGAGTTGACTTTGTTGCTTATTATAGATGGGAGTGCATGAAATGGGACTGAGGAAATCCATTCTCCGAAACCTTGACCACTATAGAGAGAAAAAGGGACAACAGTATCCAAAACCAAAGGAGGAAAACAAGGGAGCATGGGACTCCTACCTGGAGTCTAAGGTGAGTTGTTGTTATGAAGGACTTCACTGGGCATTGGAAACCTACCTGGAATATTAGGTGAGTTAATGTAATGAAGGATTTCGTTGGGAATGGAATTCCTTCTTGGAATATTAGGTGAGTAATGGTAATGAAGGACCTCATTGGGCATGGAATTCCTTCCTGGAATCTAAGTGAGTTATGGTAATGAAGGACCTTATTGAGCTAGGAAACCTACCTGGAATATTAGGTGAGTTATGGTAATGAAGGACCTTATTGAGCTAGGAAACCTACCTGGAATATTAGGTGAGTTATGGTAATGAAGGACCTTATTGAGCTAGGAAACCTACCTGGAATATTAGGTGAGTTATGGTAATGAAGGACCTTATTGAGCTAGGAAACCTACCTGGAATATTAGGTGAGTTATGGTAATGAAGGACCTTATTGAGCTAGGAAACCTACCTGGAATATTAGGTGAGTTATGGTAATGAAGGACCTTATTGAGCTAGGAAACCTACCTGGAATATTAGGTGAGTTATGGTAATGAAGGACCTTATTGAGCTAGGAAACCTACCTGGAATATTAGGTGAGTTATGGTAATTAAGGAACTTATTGAGCTAGGAAACCTACCTGGAGATTTCAATGGGCATGGGAAACCTACCTGAAATCTAGGGTGAGTTATGGTATTGAAGGACCTTGTTGTGCATGGGAAACCTACCTGGAATCTAAGGTGAGTTATGGTAACAACACAGGTAGGGCATGGGAAACTTTACTTGGAATCTAAGGTGAGTTATGGTAACAACACAGGTAGGGCACGGGAAACCTACCTGGAATCTAAGGTGAGTTATGGTAACAACACAGGTAGGGCATGGGAAACCTACCTGCTTCAATAAGCAGATAGATGATTGCTAGTTCCTAAATGGGACATGAGTTACCTATTTGCAATATGGGATGAGTTGGGGTACAGATAAGAGATGTGAGTAGAACATGTCTAATTGTGTCCATCCAGAAGTATAACATTTCTGAATTTCTCATGGTTATTTTGGAAAGTGTAACTAACATACACTTGCCTTTATTTGGGATTGCAGATAATTTATAACAGTCTCTCCAGAGATAGCACTTGTTTAAAGTGTTGCATACTTTACCCAATATTACCTGACTATCTCAGTGTCTGGAGGTGTGGTAAGTACTAGAAATATATGTTTGTGTGATGTCATCCAGCCAATTAATATGTATATTGATTTTGTCTCTATATTAAAATGACTTCAATTGTGTTAAGGTGCAAGACAATGAAGGAGAAAGTGAAGCCACATTACCATCAGCGCCCCCTGTGGAGCCATGCACTACTAGACAGTCCTCAATCCTGGCCAGGGGAATTAACACTGAATGTGTTGTGTGCTTGGATAAATCTGTGAGTATTGTGCTTGAATCTAATTATTCAGTTATCCCCATTCCAAAATACAGGTCACTTAATGTACCGACGTCAGATTTTGGTAAAATGCTACACTCGTGGCTCTATCAGTTGGAAAGGAGTAAATCATTATCTCAGAGCTACACAAAACAGAGGTTTTAATTTTCAAATTGTAATGTAACAGTGAATGTGTTGTTAGAAAGGAGATAAGTAAAAATAATTTACTGATTTGGAACGACGAAGTTTTACTAAATGATAATAAACCAGCAGGGCCTGATGGAATTATACCCAAAGTAATTAAAAAACTAACAACCTCAATATCATATCCACTAACATTACTATTTAACAAAACGATGGAACTTGGACATATCCCTGCTTCATGGAAACTTGCTAATGTTAATGCTATATATAAGGGTAAGGGGTCCCAAAATGATGCCGCCAGTAATTATAGGCCAATCTCAATTACATCTTGCTTTAGTAAAATTATTGAAAAAATCATTTTTAAGTACCTGTATAACTATCTTGTAGCAGCTGAAACTATTTCTGAGCACCAGTCAGGCTTCCTGCCTGGTGACTCAACTGTGAATCAATTATTATCTATATATCACACTATTATAAATAATTTAGATAAAGGTAAAGAGGTAAGATTTGTCTTCTGTGATGTAAGTAAAGCCTTTGATAGGGTTTGGCATGACGGTTTAATATATAAATTAGAAACTTATGGAATTAAAGGAAAATTACTGGCATGGTTTAAGAACTACTTGTCCGAGAGAAAACAAAGGGTTATTACAGAAGGACACCAGTCAACTTTTAAATGTATCAGTGCAGGAGTGCCTCAGGGATCTGTCCTTGGTCCATTTCTCTTCCTTCTCTATATAAATGACATCACTAATATAGTTACTAGTAACATTAAACTTTTTGCAGATGATACCTCCCTCTATATTATTGTTGATGATAATCCCATTCAAGCAGCACAAAATCTCACTAATGACTTGCAGAATATATGTTCTTGGGCTAAATCTTGGGATATAAAATTTAATGCATCCAAAACTAAAACTATGATCTTCACACGGAAAAAAGAAACTAATCACCCTCCAATCTTCTTCTCTAATCAACCACTATCCGACAGTACTAACCATAAACATTTAGGTCTTACTTTTAATGAAGATGGTAAATGGGGTCAACATATCCAAAATATTTATGATACAGCATATAAAAGAATTAATATATTAAGAAGTCTTAAAACCTCACTTGATAGAAGTACACTTAACACTATGTATATATCTTATATTAGACCAATTTTAGAATATGCTAATGTAGTTTGGGATAATTGCACTGAACAATCAAAATTATTATTAGAATCAGTCCAACTAGATGCTGCTAGAGTAGTGACAGGGCTTCGTAGAGGTACATCACACCATAAATTGTACAAAGAATTGGGATGGGAAACCTTAGCAGATAGGAGGGAAAAAAATAAATTAATTGTAATGTATAAAATATTGCACAATATATCACCAAAGTACCTTAATGATATAGTTGATCCTTTTTTAAATGATTTAACAAATGTGAGATATCAGCTTAGACTAAATAGAGTTTTTAACCCCCCTGTATGCAGAACTGACAGCTACTTTAATAGTTTCTTTCCCTCAACCTTTCGACTTTACAATCAGTTAGACCCAGATATTTTAAATGCTCAATCTCTTCCTCACTTTAAGAAACTAATTAACATAACTAATAGTATACCTAATAATGATACTCAGACAGTGGTAAAAAATTCTGGTGATAGAAAAATCAATATTATACTATGTCAAATTAGAAATAATGCTAGCAACTTAAACTTTGATCTCTTTAATGACCATCTATTAGAATCTGCTTCATGTGTGTGTGGTTATATACAGGAAACAAGTTATCATTACTTCTTTGACTGTGCCAGATACAACAATCACAGACAAGTACTCTCTGCTACTCTACTCAATGATAATCACTCGCACTATACTTTACATACTTTACTAAATGGTTGTAACCATTGTGACAATGAAACCAATAAAAATATCCTAGAGAGTGTCTCAACCTTTATCTTGAACTCAAAAAGATTTATTAACTAGAATTATCTATATCAACTTATATTATAATGTACTATAAATAATCTAATATTGTAAACATGAACAGCAAACATGCTTATGGTTATAAATATTATTAATCGCTTTCTATAAACACAGTGTGAATATGATACACTCACCCCTTAAACCAACATGGACTTGTGTTTTGTAATTAATAACAAATAGTTGTATAATTATATTTTCAATGTATTATAATGTGAATATTAATATACCATACAATATTGACATAGATTATTCACGATATTTAATTATATAAGCCTTATCTTCAACTACATGTATCTATGAGTCACTCTGTGTGGATTTTGAACTCCCAGGGAGAATCTAGTCAAGGAATATGTCAAAAACCCACTCAATACTCTGGTGAGGTCAAGAAGTAGCACAGCTTGACTTGTGACCTTTCATAAGCAGTTAGAGTTATCTCCCCTTTACCATATGACTTGCACATTGATATCTGTTTTGTATATAAGTTGTGTCTCTTTTCAACTTTTCATTTCACTGATAAATTACAATATATTTATATGCTGATCTATACAAATGCATGTAGGAGAGAACTGATATAGGCATAGCCTGTTGTTCGATCCAATTCATACAACATCATGAATAAAATTTGTTGAAATGAAATGAACTAAGAAGTTTTGTTACTGCACCTGTTTCTAATAAATAATGATATTTTGCTGCTGATATCATAGACAATCATATGTAATCCATTTTGTGTTTATCTATCATCTCAGATCAGTATATATTAAAACCTATTTTTTTTAAGCTTTGAAGTTATAATTTACACGTATAATTGAAAGTTCGTTTTAGTACCCTTCATGACTTTGTTTTGTTTACACACTTTCTTTTGCATGTTCCCCCCCCCCCCCCCCCCAACAAGGTAAAGTATACAGCCCTAACCATGAGATAATGTCTTTTAACCTTGATTTTTTTTTCCAGACGGATGTGATATTCCTGAATTGCGGACATGTGTGTACTTGTATAGATTGTTCGGTGAAGGTACAGGAATGCCCATTGTGTCGCGAGCCTATTGCCCAGCGTGTGAAGCTAATGATTTCATCTTCGTGACACAGTCTGGACGTCTTGATAAACCCACTTACACAGGACTTCGAACAATAATGTCTTTTCCAAGTTTTGGGATACTAATACTGTCACAGAAAAGGAACATTCAGAACCATACAAAAACGTCATGTTTATCTTGTAAGACCTGTGTATGGCTGTATTCTTATTTATTGTTTTGTCATTTTATGCCAAATTTTCAGGTTCAATGGTTGTATGAATCGAGTTGTATGTTCTTCACACACTCAAATGATCATCAATAAGAATAGACTTTGAATCATAAAACAGTTTTAGAAAAGAAAAACACAGTCTAGATTATTTCATGTCTGGTTCCTCACAAGAACTCGGACTGTTCTTACCCCTTTTAGGCACTGATACTGCCTATAAGTATATATATTTTAGTGATTAAGGATATATGCTACCCTCATGTGAAAACATCTCTGTTTTCAAGAGGTTTCACACTGAGAAACCTGTAAATGGTCTTCTTTAGAAATGAAAACACATTTAAAAGGTAGACAAGAATACATGAATTGATCCAACTCCGGTAATTCAAAATAACATAAGATAATGCTTGCTATTTTTTCAAGGAAGATAACCTAAATCTCATGTATCTACTAGTGAGAATAACTCTTAATACAAATCACGGGTGTACTGTGATGAGTAGAGTAGTGTTAATCCTTAAAGAAAAAATACACAGTATTTTGAAATTAAATTTTCTACTGTAAAAGTGGATTTTTTCGCAGTGTGAAAATGCTCATATTTTTCCGTTAGTTCATTAGCACAAAAATATTCTCACGCAAATATATATATATAGATTATATATATATAGAACATCATATATATCAGAACTATTGCCAACATGAAAACGTCCACACCACAATCAGTTTAAAGAGTCACACCCCAAACATTTCCTCATGAAAGAATTTCCATTTTTACAGTATTTTAATCTAATTCAACATTTTAAATGTATAACTGAAAGTAGTTTTGATGTATCATGACATAAGCACTAACAAACAGTATGGTATATATTCTAAATTCATTCACGGAAAGTCTTTTTTTAAATTTCTAATTTCATTCTGTACATTTTAATACTGGCAATTGTTGTAAAAAAATCTATAAAAATATGTTATTGGATTTATCTAACAATGGATGTGTTGTTTACTATTACAGAAATGAACATGTGTTGTTTACTATTACAGAAATGAACATGTGTTGCTTAATACTCTCTAGTTATGTTATCTGTTATGCTCAATGTATCTAAGAACAAAATGTCCAAATACTCCTGATATTGGTTCTGATTATCTGGACATTATCACCGATAGTTATCATGGAGTGAAGGTAGTATGGATTGATGACAAATCAAAACCTGTGTAGTGTAATTCAGTGTAGTGTAATTCAGTGTAGTGTAATTCAGTGTATTTTTACTTGGTAGTAAAACATCCTTCGACTTAATACAATTTTTGTACGTTGATTGATTGGTGGTACAGATTTGATACTCGGAGTAGAAGTAAATATCCAACGAAAAGTGATTATGTGAATCAATAATTGTTTTGTACAGGACCGCGAAGTGGTAGAAATTTTGTGTTGAGAATCTATATTCAGTTTGACAGGACGTTTATGTTATAAATTGATTTTAATAGATGAGGGGACATGACTTAATATTGAAGATATTCAGATGGAAAACACGACATAAGGGCTGAAGTTTTGGATACCTGTGTACAGAGGTATTTGTGCAATATATAATGGAGTCTGAACTGAGAAGAATATTTAATTAATTAGACATTACATGGATAATCAGATATGCTGTGATAAGAATATTGGTACAGTAGCAGGCTGTATTATGTACTATTACTAGTGACAATGGAAGGAGGTTCTATGTGGTACAATTAGTGTTGTATGGTGCATATTTAATGTTATATATACAGGGTATAGATAAGAAGTACAATCCAATACCGGTACAAAATCACTAGTTTAATTAACTTGCACTATACTAAAGAGGTTGTAGTGATGTATCCAGCCATTTTATTAAATGTATTTATAATGTAATTTTTCCTCTTGCTCCATCAGGAAATGACGACCCTTGATCAACAGATCTATGCTGTGATTTCATTGTTGATACTTATTCTTGAGAATTCAGTGAGTTTCTCAGCACAATATCTGTCATTCTTACAAGTAAGGGCAGGCCTTTTTAAGTGCTAGACATTATATTGAGCTCAATTCTATTTATATAAATGACCTACTTTGTATGTATTGAGTGTAGGACGTGAGTAGTCAGTGTTATACCTGTTTATTTAGTACCCAGATGTCATCCTAAACAGTACACATTGTAATAGTTTTCCTGATGTGTTCATTATGTTCTGTCTAGCAGTCATTAACTTGTATGTAATTTTCATGCATGTGGCTTCTTTAATTACCTCTTTTTTTGTTATGTCTATGATTCTGAAAAACTTCAACACAGGCTGAAATTGAAAAAACATCATGTTAGCAGTATGGATTGTAGTGTACGGGTATGTACGCAGAATAGAATATCCAAAAAAGTGATATTTATATTTTTGTAATTAATTATGCTTCAGACATAGAATTAGTTCTATCTTGATCTGCATTTCCCTAACTTTTGCATCCTGACTTTTATAAAGTAATAACTGTTTCTACTTCTGTAGGTGTACCAATATATGGTCTTATTTTGGAATGAGGAAATTAAGTGATTTGATACTTATCAGTTTTAGCAGGTTATTTCAATTTGTTTTGATCTGTTTTCCCAGTAATCCTGGCTGTCTGAAATATTAGCATTGCTCCAGCTTAAAGTAAAAGGTACTACATCAGTAATAATCGCAAACACTTAAACTCAGAGCTCTTTTCTCCTACTTGGATTATTCTTCCTTAGATATAGAAGACGAATCAAACAAAAGATAAATGTTGTATATTATTATTATTATTACATGTAAAAGGAGTTTTTTTAAGCTTTGAGTGATCTCCCTTGTCAAGGTATTCATCTTGCAATATTCAATTTTTCTTCTCTGTAGTTTATTTTCTGTAGACCTTGTGGCCCATAAGGTGCTGTTAATTTATAATTCCTTATTAGCAACATTGATTAAGGGTAGATTCGGCAGTGTAAAGGGTCTGAGTTGGACCCCTGTAATTTGATTTTCAAACAAGGAAATTTCAAACAACTCTGATTCTGTAAAATGTAAAGCAACATGTGATCTATATGGAATATTTCTGTTGAAAATTGGAATTTCAATAGTGTAATACCTTGTCAGTCAATAAACAGCTTACTGGTCAGTTACTTTCACTACTTGATTGCTTAAGTGTCAATGAATTGTTTAATGAAGTGGAATATATAATAAACTGGTGCATGTTATGTTGAAATAAACAATTTGAATTAGGAATAACTTAGATTCTCTCATTTCCCTGTGTGTAAGATAGAGCTGTCCAGGGTAAGAGAGGGGTGTAGGAAATTTCTATCTCACACCCCATTTCACGTGACGTGACATCACAATGGCTCGACAATGGTGTGACGTCACCAATTTGGAACTCTCCGATGCCGCAATGAGGAAAAGGCGATGAAAATTAAAACCTTTTACAATATATTTACTGTACACATTAGAAAGATGTGATTAATTTTTAATTTTCCTGCGCAAATTCTGTTTACCAATATGGGATATGNGAAAAATACTCTTTCATGCCCAGGGGTGTAGGATAGGGAAATTCCACCCTCGGGATATCAAATTTACCAAAAACCTCGGCAAAGCCTCTTGTTTTACGAAATTTGAAAACCCCTCGGGAGGAATTTCCCTATCCTACACCCCTGGGCATGAAAGAGTCTTATCATGTCCCTCTGCTTTTGGCCTTTTTGTCTCATCCTTGAAAAATATTCCACCTCAATACAAGCAAAAAGTTGATTAATGTCTAATATATTATTGTTATGTGGGCTCTGCAATATATTCTTTTATGTGTAATCAGAATTTTGCTGTAACAGTAAAGAATACAAATTTTTAGCTCATCTGAGATAAAAATTAAGTGATCGTTTGTCATTGTTAGCTCACCTGGCCTGAAAGTTTCAGGCCAGGTGAGCTTATGCCATGGTGCAGCGTCTGTCCGTTCGTCATCATCAACTTTTTACTTTAAACAACTTATTCTGAAAAACCAAAAGCTTCAGGGTGATGATATTTGGCCAGTAGCATGCATGGATGAAGGGCTACCAAGTTTGTTCAAATCAATGACCTTTGTCCATATTCAAGATAACAGGGGTCAATTGTCTTAAAAACCTTTAAACGACTTCTTTTGTATAATCAAAAGGTCCAGGGTGATGATATTTGGTCAGAAGGGTGTTGGGATGAAGGGTTATCTAGTTGTTCAAATGAATGACCTTTGCCCATATTCAAGGTCACAGGGGTCAAATGTGTCTTAAAAACCTTTAAACGACTTCTGCTGTACAGATTGATTGCTTGTAGATGTGAATGACCTTGACACACTTTCATGGTCATATCTGGTCCATAGTGCATCTTCTCGATAAACAAAAGGTATAGGATGGTGATATTTGGCAAGTTGCATTCTGGGATGAAGGGCTATAAAGTTTTTTCAACTTAATGTCCATGATTGACTTTCAAGGTCAAAGGGGTCAAATGTGTTTTAATCCTTGAACAGGTTCTTCTGAATGACTTTTAGTCAAGACACTGATGTTTTGCCTGTAGCTTTATTTTAGTCCTCTTTTAAGGTTACAATTTAGAGATTAATACCAGGTGAGCGATTGCAGGCCCATTGGGCCTCTTGTTTTTTTTTATTGTTCATTCACGTCAACTTGTCACCTTCACAGAAAGTTTGAGCAGACTTGTTTATATTATAGCATGCCACACATCACAGTGAAGGGTTCTTTTGGCCAAAAGTTTCCTCTTTAGGGCCCTTTAAGTGGCAAAAAGAAAAAGTCATTTAAAGAAATTTTAAAAATATTTTTCAAAAGTTAGGAATATATCAGATTTTACAAACTTCATATTAGAGAGTATTTTCTGAATGTAGTCCTCTGAAAAAAATCTCTCAGCTTTGTAGACCTGGTCATCTTTGGTTTTCCAAATAGCAAACCTGAAAGAACTCAAATCAGGTGAACTATTTAAGTCCTTTTCAATTTGGGTCTCCCTTGTTTTATTTGATCATTGCGTAAAGAGATGTACATTTTATATGAATTTTTGATGTGAATTGAATTGTCAACCATTATTTGTACCGGAGAACTAATAATACATCCCTGCCCATTACCTCAAAGCCTAGCATGTATTTGTGGTTAATTTTCCTTAGCATTTCTAATGATAACTTATTTTTCATACAGTATCAATGTTTTTGCATGTCTCATGGTTTGTCATACAGTAATTGTCTTTTGGTGGATTAATTGTGGATATTATGTCCGTTTTTTCTGTACAAGAACATGTATGTTTATATTCATCAACTTTTACCAAATAATATTTACACCCTGTCATTTTTCTTTCTGTGATAAGAAGTAAACAATGCTAAATCATCTAAATATTTTATTGTAAACGAAGAATGATAATGTCCACCCAGTTATAATAATAGCTGAGGTCTGTTAACGATGTATATCCTATACTTCTAACAAGTGGAGAATGGGGGTGATCATCAAATTAGTTTGTTGGTGACCCCAATGTTGGAAAATTCCTCCAAAAATGTTGATGTTGTATATAATGATAACGGTAATTACCCTTTAGCATGTCTGATTCCAGCTAATAACCGCAGATCTGTTAGAATATCTGTTCCTGCAAATAACCAAAGACCGGCTTTTAGTGCATCTTTTCCCCCAAAAACCCCCAGGTCCTATAGAGTTTTTTTTTTAATAACCGAAGACCCCATGCATGGAAATTTATCCTTTTCCCCGAATAACCACAGACCAATGGGAATGTGTTTCTCCAAATAACCACAGACCAATGGGAATGTGTTTCTCCAAATAACCACATTGATTTGTGATTCACCAGTAAACCCTGTGTTGTATATTGTCCCAGTTGTAATAGGTGGAATACCCGGTATGTTCTGTAGGTTTTCATCCTCAAAGTTCCAGAGGTTACGCTCTGTTACATCCTCTGCACCTCTGGAATATATCTTAAAAAGGAAGTGAAGGCTCTGTACATGTCCCATTGTGAATGATACAAGAAGGCTAATTGGATCCTTTGATGTACGTAGAAAAAAGTACACAGAAACATAGTAAGATAGAATAGCTAGCAAACCCAGTGCCTTTGATTTTGTCATGACATGTCCAAGGGTGCAGACAACGTAAATGAGCTTAACCCCAGGAGTTCTGAGGATGGTAGGTTTTATACATCCTCTTGGCCATATGTTAATGTCAGTGTTATATTAATCATTCAAAGTGTAATTTTCTTTCTTTTCATATTAAATGTCAGTATCTTGATTTCTAACCAATTTCCTGGTATTAAAAGTTTAAATAAATTTT